TAGACAGCCCTCTCCATCCCATAGCCCCCTCACTGGTTTGGGGAAGGGTAGGAGGTGGAGGTAAAGAGGCCCCTTTCCACCCCCTTAACCCCAAGCGGGATCTTGCAACACTGGGATGGGGGCCCTGGGGGCCAAGCATGTGGCAATCCATGGGAGGGGGAGGTGTGCACTGAGCAGGGGGAGAGGCTTTCACAAGCCACTGCCACCGCTGCCCTGCCGACTGACCTTGGCAGGCTCACCTTGGGCAGCTTCCTCCCTCTACGTGGTATCTCCCCACAGCCTTCCTTCTCCTCAGCAGCTTCTCTGTGGCCTGGAGATCTTGTCTCTTAGCTCAGGACTCTCGTCCTGGTCTAGTTCTTCTGGGACCTGAGCTGTGGATTCTGAAGCCATGGGAACGCACGTGTCTACTGTCTGAATCTTGATTTGCCAATATTCAAAAGTAAAGCAATTCCCTGGGCTCCCTCTTTCTGCCTTCTCCTTTCCCTGCAGTGACTGTGCTGTGGTGGAGGTGACAAGAGGGGCTTGGGGTAGGGAAAAGCAGACTCCAAGAGCAAGGAAGCCTGTTCTCTCCTGTACTCCAGCTTCTTAAGGATTGTCCTCTGCAAACCAAAAAACCAAACTCACTGCCACTGAGTTGATTCCGATTCATACCAACTCACATTGGGTTTCCAAGGCTGTAAATCTTTACGGAAGCAGACTGCCTCACCTTTCTTCTGCAGAGCAGCTGGTGGGTTCAAACCACTGATCTTTTGGTTAGCAGCTAAGTGCCTTTACCACCACACCACCAGAGATGAAAAGAGAATCATTGGCAACTCCATTCTAGAGCTGAATGGAGTTTTCATTCAGCCAGATACAGTCGGCTTCCTTTCTTTTTCTTTATCACCCGGACACTCCAGGGCCTTTGCAGTTATTCTCCCTGCAGCACATCCTTCCCTCCATTTTGGTACATCATCTTCTTTCTTATTATTTAGGTTTCAACTTAAATGTCACCTTGTCAGAGAGGCCTTCCTTGACCATCCCAACTAAAATAGCCTTCCATTCTGTTTGTTTTCTCAAGGGGACTATTCAAATGGGGCTAACATAAAATAAAGAAATATAGTGAAGATACTTTATAAAGGTGTGGACTGGGCTAAGGGAGAGCAACAAGGATCAATAGTACCCTGTGCTGGACTCGGCAGGGGAGCTGTTAACCTGCAGGCCTTAAGGGCAGAGGAATTCTGTGAGAGGGAGCTGTGTGGTGGGGCCCTGTCAGGTAGGCAGCCAGGGGGTAAACACCTAACTTCACCCTCCTCCTACCATCTCCCCTTGCCCCACTGGAAGCCTGTTCAGATTAGGGTGGCAGGGTATGGTGATAAATGGTAGAGAGGAGATCTGGAGGGGCAAAGCAAGACATCCAGCACACTTTATTGACATTATTGTTTATTGACATTTTCTTCCACTCCTTCACCTAAGAACCGGGTTTATTTTGTTCACCACAGTATTCTCAGAACCTAGCAAGGAACTGGCACGTAAAAAATGATCAACAGGTATTTGAATCAATTACTTTGGCCACATACACTTCAGGTCAGGTTAAAAGCCCTCATTCACGAAGTGTGACCTCTGTTTCCCTGTCACCTCCTGATGAGATGATCTGACATAAGGATTGGGGTGTGTTTGGCAACTCTGTCTCACTCTGGGATTGAGTGCTTGTCCTTCACAGGCTAAACAAGGTAGTAGGGGGTGGCTCTTCTCCAGAGTCAGTCAGAAGCCTCTGCCAAACACTCACCCTGAGGAGCTGACAGGAGGGGGGCTGGGAACAGACACAATTCAGAGCTGTGGAAAAGAAGCTTGGGGCTGATGCTGAAGCAATCCAGGTCCTACTATCCTGAATCTTGAAAATAAGTCAAGGGGCAGTGGTCTTGAGCTGAGAGGAAGAAATCCGGAGGTTGAGTCACTTACCCTATTTTGTACTAACTCCTACTTATGCAACCCATCCCCGTGGGCTGAAAGGAAGGTGTGAGGATTCTCCCAGCTATCCACAGAGATCGTCCCCCTTCCTTCCAAACTATGGTGACTTCCACCAGTCCTTCAGTGGCCTTAAGCAGGTGACTGAATAAACCATCTATCAAGGTTCAGATGTGCACACTCAAACCAGACCTGGGGAAGGAGGCCCAGGACACAGACATAGGAGAGAGTGCCTGAGATATGGAGGCAGAGGCAGGAAAGGGACTGAGTCCTCGGTGAGGCAGGCATGAAACACACAGTGCCAAGTGGAGAAATGCTCTAAGACTTCTGGGGAGAGGGTTGTGGAGATCAGAGAGACAATGGGGAGATCCAGAAACCAATCTCTCCCTATCAGAAAGTTATTCCTAGGTGTCTAACTCAGGCTTTCCAAGCAGTGGCCTAGAAGTCGTTGGTGGCCTCGGAAAACCTTTAGCTCTCATTTTACCCTGGGGTCTCTGACGTCAAGCAATTTATGATTACTCATTGAATGTGATTCATGTGCCTCATCCTGTGCTGTATGTCCTTGAGGGGAGGAGCAGGGTAGAGGGGCAGGTGCCCTGCACTGCGGCAGCAAAGGGACTGATCATAAAGAGATGCTCTTATCCCCCCTGTCCCTTAACCGCTTTATCTAGAAAATGTGGCTCACACTATCTTGCTTGTCTGAGGGCATAGCTCACCAGATGATCTCTTGAGGTCTTTTCTAGCACCTTATGAGATCTGTGATTTTATGGAGCTAATTTTGTTTCTGCCTCTAACCAGCTGTGTGACTTTGACTTTGGTTAAGTCCCTTCCCCTCCCTAAGGCCTGTTTCCTCACATTTAAAATAAGAAGTTTAGATGACATCTCTGAGGTCTTTTCAGTTCTAGCAAAATAGAACTGATATGATATATATATATTGTTGTTGTTGTTGTTATGTGCCATCGAGTCGGACCCGACTCATAATGACCCTTCCTTGGGTTTCCGAGGCAGTATCACTACGGAAGTAGATTGCCCCATCTTCCTTCCACGGAGTGGCTGGTGGGTTTGAACCACCAGCCTTCTGGTTAGCTGTCAAGTGCCTTAGGCACTATGCTACCAGAGCTCATATATATATATAAAACCAAAACTCACTGCCCTTGAATCGATTCCAACTCATAGCAATCTCCATCGGCTTTCCAAGGCTGTAAATATTTATGGAAGCAGATTGCCTCATCTTTCTTCTGCAGAGCAGCTGGTGGGTTTGAAGCATCAGTCTTTTGGTTAACAGCCAAATGCCTTAACCACTACACTACCGGAGTGTTATTTTTTTTCTCTATGTAATATTCACACACAGGTATGTGTCACTTAACGTCCACAATACTTTTTGTGAAACAGAATATTATATGATTTGGACATTTGGGAACACCATATTAAAGCTTTTGGGAGCCCACTTCCAGTCCTGCTTGTCTCTGTCTCTGCTGCCGCTGCCTGCTGAAGTAACTGGTAGTGGTGGCTGTGGTGGTGGCAGCAGCAGCAGCAACAGCAGCAGAGCAGTGAGAGGAAACTATCAGGGAGGGAGCAGAATGCCCTCCTGTCTGCTGTTCAACCCTCCTGAGCAGCAGGAGTAGCCTGGTGCCAGCCACACTGCCTGCCTACTGGACAAAGCCCAGAAGCCCACACCCAGACCCACATCCTCTCCCTCACCTGCCTGTGCCTGAATGCACCTGTGGACCAGTGATACAAGAGTCTGGGTTTGAAGTCTTTTAAATCATTAGGGGGAAATAATAAAAGGAGAGCTGCTTTTCTTTTTTTAAAAACCAATTAACCAACCAAAAAAATGTTATGGGACCATAGATAGATATGTGGTTGAATTTTGCCCCAACGGACATTAAGTGACACATAATACTTACCATATGCAGGCCCTGATTATCTATGACCCATTCAATCCTTATAACAACACTGTGAGGCAGGCACTATTAGGTTTTCTGCTTTGCAGATGAGGAAACTGAGGCACAGAGAGGAGAGTGATTGGCTCAAGGTCACATAGCTACTGAGTAGCAGAGGGAGATTCAAACCGAGGCGCTTAATTCCTGTATTATTCTGCCTCTTAAGCTGTGGTTCTCCAAAAAAGAAAATGCTCAGAATTTGGAGTTTTCCTGACACAGGCAGACAGTTGTCTTCCTCCTCATTATCAATTTTCTCATATACAAATCAGATCTCAAGGCCTTTCCTAACTGATTTCTCTTCTAAGAACTCAGATTTTCAAGCCTCAAATCCCACTACCATTGAGTTGATTTCAAGTTCATAGCAACCCTATAGGACAGAGTAGTACTGCCCCACAGGGTTTCAAATGTTGTAAATCTTTGTAGAAGCAGACTGCTTCATTTTTCTCCTGCAGAACAGCTGATGGGTTTGAACCACCAACCTTCTGGTTAGCAGCAGAATGTTTTAACTACAGTGCTGCCAGAGCTCCTTTTTCAATCCTTAGGGAACAAGAACCCCAGAGGATGAAGGACAAAGATGGGAGTGGGTAGGCGGGAGCCAGAGGGGGTTGTTCTTGTCGAAACTGAAGTTGTGGAATTAGAGAGAAAAATGCGAGTGCTGGATCAAGAGCTAATGAACCATAAATATCACAGCCATTCGGAATTTTCCTTTGGTCACCTAGGGCAGGTGCTCCCAGACCTATACGAGACTGGGTCCTGAGTCAGCAGGTCTGGCATAAGGAACTATATGGTGCTGGAAGCTCCCTGATAGCTCAGGTGCTCTCACTAGCCTCTCTTCAAAGAACAGTATCTAGAGGCTGTTCCCTGGCCTTCAGCTTCCAGGAGGACAGAAGGAGACCAGAGGAGGGGAAGAACAGAGTGACAGATACACAGCTGGCTATGGGCGCAAACTGTACGCAGTGTGTGTACATTCCTGCACATTTATTTGGACATGGAAACAAGAGGTATGCAGACCCAGCCACATACATCCCTTGCCCTTCGGGGTCCCCCATGCCATACATGCAAACGCACACATGCACCCACACATACAGACAGGCCCAGTGTACCCCAGCACTGAGTCACAGTGCAATTTTATTCAGCCACAGAATCATGCTGGGGCTCCTTCTCCCCTGACACCCTTGTCCAGAGTCTATGTCTCATACTCGTCCTGTGAGGTGCTCTAATGCCCCAGCAGGGAAGAGTTTCCCAGGGTCGGGCTGGGCCAGGAAGGTTGGTTGGTGCTCACAGGCCAGCCAGCTAGGCTCAGCTGCAGTCCCCCACACCCTTGATGAGGTTGGCGGCCTCAGGGATTTGACGGAAGAGGTTGCGAAGGGTGTCCAGCTCCTGGGTCAGTTGCTCCACGCGTCTGCGGAGGCTCTCGTTCTCTGCCATGTACTCCAGCACCTTCTGCTGCGTCTCCAGGATCCGCCTCTTGGCCTTGTCCCGGCTCTTTCGTACAGCGATGTTATTGCGCTCCCTCCGCAGCCGGTACTCCAGGCTGTCTTTGTTCACTGCTTTCTTGCCCTTGTGTGAGGGGCCAGCTGGGGAGGGCGCCTTGAGGAGGGGGCTGCAGGGCTGTGTGCCAGCAGCCAGAGGAGCCTGAAGGGGTAGGCACAGAGGGACAGAGAAATGAGGCTTGGCAGGGAAGCCGGGTGGAGGCAGACAGAAATCCCAGCGCCAGAGAGCAACTGGGGCATCAGAGAAATACAGGATTCAGAGCCAGCTGCTATTTCCTAGGTTCAAACAGTCTTTGTCCTGCCTCTGGAGAAGATGGTAGCTCAGATGTACAGGGTCCTTGAGACCAAAATTCCCTTTCATATACTCACTCACTGAGAACACTTTTTCCCTCAATCTATCTTGAGTCTCCTGTTCTACAGTTAGCAGGCATTTCTCTTCTAGAACCATGTGGCTGAGATACAACAGGAGGGGGCCTGGCGGGAAGCAAGGAGGCTGGGAAGGAGGCTGAGATCAGGGCAGACCAGTTTGCCATAGGGTCTGTAGGATGCATTGGATTCTAGTCACAGAGTGAGGTTCAGGGGGGGAGTAAATTCACAGAGAAGCAAAGTGGGGGGCGGTGGTTGAAGTCAGATAGTGAGTGCACAGAGGGCTTTGAGGTGGGTCAGTTTCACAAAGCAATACCAAACACAGACTTCTTAGTGAGAGCTCAAAACTCCCCCATTCACACTGGCCTCTCTCCAGCCCCTGGGTGGCAGGGAGGAGAACTGGCTTACTCTTACCTTGAGGACGCGCAGGGGCTGGCTGGGTGCAGCCAGGGCTGGGGGCAGGTGCATGGCTGTCTGCCCGCAGTGTGCCACTTGGTACTGCAAGGGATTGTAGCTGCTGCGGCTGGCACCTCGGCTGCCCTCTGGCCCCCGAGGCTCCTCCTTCACGGCCACAGACCTGGGGTCGTAGCTCCCTGGGCTGCTGTAGATGCCAGGCCCCAGTACCTTCCTGTCTGGGCCAAAGGTGTGTGGGGGGTAGGCAAAGGGCCGAGGATCAGGCGGCAAGTAGTGGGGGAAGGCAGGGGTTCCGGGACCCTTAAGGCCTCTGGCCTCAGGCGCTGGCTTCACAGCAAAGAGGTCGGAGAGGAGCTGCTCCTCCCCAGACTCTATGTAGGCAGAGAGGTCGATGGAGGCCTCATGCTCACACATGTCCCCCAGGTCCCCGGGCCCTGCTCGGCCCCCTGAGAACTCAAGTGGCTGCTGGCCGCCCCGGGGCTCACACTCGTAGTAGGTCCCGTGGGACATGGCCGGCCCGCCCCCTGGGCTCCCCGCCCCCGCCGCCCTGCTCTTGGGGCACCCCTTGGGATGCTTGGCCTGCCCTCTCTCGATCTCCTCCTGTCCCAGATCTGCCCTAGATCTGCCCTCTCTGCTCTCCTCTGTCACCCTCTCCTGCGTCGCTTCTCTTCTCCCTCCTCTGCTCTGTTTCCTTTTCCTTCCTTTGTGGTCAATGCCTCTCCTCTCTTCCTTTTTTTCCCTCTCTTCCTGGGGTGACTCAGGGAGGGGCAGGGCGCACCCCAGAGGGAGGGATGCAGGCCTTAGAGAAATGGTGTCCCTGGTCTATGGAGCAGTTAGTGGGGACTCTTTGGTCAGGGTCCACGCCAGGCTTCTGGAGATGCCCAGGAGATGCCTTCTCCTCTCCCCACTGAGCTCAGGGGATTCCAGAATCCTCACTGAGGGCAACACCTCACTGTGAGTGTCCTCCTCCCTCTGACATCCAAAAAGTTCTGTGCAGAATGAGGTGCCAAGTCAGAATGAACTTAGAGAACCCTCTTCCAGTGCTGACCCCCAGCCTAGCCTGAGCTCCTCCCTTGACACACCTCCCTCTGGGCCCCTCAGTACTGGGCTCCACCTACCCCCAGGGGCAGTCAGTTCCTTTCATAGCCCCACCTCCTAGGGCAACCTCCTTGGTGCAGGCCAAGGGGTGCTGTTTGAGAGGCTCTGAAAGTAGGGATAGGTTCCAGGAACAAGCCATACCCAGGGTTCTATGTTGTGGCCCAGAGCATGCTCATTTACTAGGTATTTGCACAGGGTCTGTGCAATACCCCAAACACTAAGATGTTTCCAGCTGAAGCATGGTACAGCATCCTACTGCCTGTGCTTGGCTGAGGCACCTGCTTAGGACTTGGGCCCTGTGCCCCAGGCCTAGGCAGGCTGCTGCCTGGAACCAACATTCAAATTCCTCTGGTGGCTCCAGTATCTCTTTCTTCCAGCTCCTCTGTGCTGCCAGAGGTTCAGGCTGGCATTTGCGCAGACTCTGGGCCTGAAACTCTGCCTCCCATTTCCTGTGCTCTGGGCTGCAGGGCTCCAGGGCTGCAGGGCTGCAGGGCTGGAGAGCTCACTGCAGCTCAGTTTGCTGTCTTTCCTTCTCCTGGCCGTTGTCTGACCTCCCATGTGGCTTTCTTGGGCCCACTTCCTCTTACGAAGCTTGAGAAGGCTTCTCTTTTGTCATCACCTCTTCCTGGGGCTCTGTCCCAGGGTCTCCAGAAGGCCACGGCCCCGCTCTCTGAACTTCTTGGTCTTGTGCTGGGCCTCTCTTCCCTTCCCTTTCTCCAGCCCCCTCTGGGAACTCAGAACTCCCTCTAGTCAGAAACCCTTTTTTATTTGTTGAATTTCATCTCCAGGTGGCGCTGTGGGTCCAATAAAAAGAAAAGGACTTGGAGAACTCATCACTGCCTCTTTTACCACCAGAAAATGCTGTGGGTGTCCTGTGGGTGGGCCAGGAGTGCTTACAAGCACACTAAGGGCTGGGTCACAGTGAGTGGGTCACAGTGGGGCAAATGCTGAAGGGATACGTGTGGCTTTGAACACTAACATAAAATATGCAAATGTAGACAAGGCTGTCTGCAAACCAGACAAGCTACCCCTCTAGTAGTGATCCTCTCTTCCCTTCCTCCCATCTCTGCACACCTACCCCAGGAGCTTTGTGTGCACAGCTTGCGGTACGGCCAGATGTGCTCTCTCCAAAATCTCTAACCTGGCACGGGAAGCTGTGGATGCCTCCAAAGATAAATCCCAGGAATCGCATGGGGAGATTGCTGTCCTCTCCTGTTTTGGATCTTGTGCCAAATAGAGACCATAACTGAGCTACATCAGTTTGCCAGCAGTGCTTCTGTTGACCATTGGGTGGCAATATTGAGCCAAAATTCTGGACTTGCAGTGGCTGCTATACTTGGACATCAGGTGGACAGCAGAGGGCAGCCTCCCATGTTGTTGTTGTTATGTGCCGTCAAGTCAGCCCTGACTCATAGCGACCCCTCCTTGGGTTTCCGAGGCAGTATCACTACGGAAGTAGGATTGCCCAACCTTCCTTCTGAGGAGTGGCTGGTGGGTTTGAACCACCAGCCGTCTGGTTAGCCGTCTGGTTAGCAGGCAAGTGTCTTAGCCACTATGCTACCAGATGCTCCTGGGCATCAGGAAGGAAGAAAAGGAACTATGGCCTGGGTAGGGGCTTGCAATGCAGTTGCAAGGAAAGTGGGCAGGTTAGGAGGATGGGGACCAGAGTCTTGTCTCAATGAGGAAAGAGTCTATCTCCCAACCCCTTCACTTTGAAGTAGTGATAAAGATTAAAACAAAAACTCAGACTCATAGTGACCCCTCCTTGGGTTTCTGAGGCTGTATCTCTACAGAAGTAGATTGCCCATCCTTCCTTCCGAGGAGTTGCTGGTGGGTTTGAACCTCCAGCCTTCTGGTTAGCAGTCAAATGCCTTAAGCACTACACCACCAGAGTTAGGCCTTGCATTTTCTGGTAAGTTATGCTTTTTTAATCATTGAAACATACACTTTTGCATGCTGACTATATCCCTGAGTTAAGTAGGAAGGTAAGCAAGCCAGACAGTATTTTTATTCCTACCTTATAAATGAGGAGCTCTGGTAGCGTAGTGCCTAAGGCAACTGACTGCTAACCAGAAGGCTGGTGGTTCAAACCCACCAGCCACTCCTCGGAAGGAAGGCTGGGCAATCTACTTCTGTAGTGATATCACCTCGGAAACCCAAGGAGGGGTCACTATGAGTTGGGTCCGACTCAACTGGCACACAACACCACCTTATAAATGAGGTAAACAAGGATGAAAGACTGAGCTACCCAAGGTCATACAAGGATACCTCAGTTAGTCTTGGGGGAAAGTGCAGTGGGCCCAGGGCTGAAAGGGTGACTTAGAGAGCCTCCTTAGCCCTCAGTACCCCCCCTCTGCCCACATGCCCCTCACCCGTTGGGGAGGGGAAAGTGAGGGAAGTGGGCTCTGAAGGGAGCTGGGAGATGTGCAAACAGAGCTGGCAGGAAATGAGAAAGGCAGCAGCTTTGGCCATGGTGAGATAAGTAGTCTCAGACTCTCGCCTCCCAGGCTGGTGCACTGACATCAGTGTTTCCCAGTAACCCTGGGGCGGCAATCTGGACTTCGGGGCAGGGGAGGGGAGGGGCCTGCTGGACTGGAATGAGTGATGGAGGGAAGTGCCAGTGAAGGGCTGAGGGATTCTTGGGTTCTGGGGAGTTGCTCAGAAGGGGAAAAGAGGCCCCCTTTAGCAGGATCATTTTATCCTTGCTAAAGGAGCCCTGATGGTGCAACGGTTAAGCCCTTTGTTAAGCTGAAAGGTTGGCACTTCAAAACCCACCCAACAGCAACTCAGGAGAAAACTCTGGTAATCTGCTCCCTTAAAGATTACAGCCTGGAAAACCCTATGGGGCAGTTCTGCTCAGTCACATGGTGTCATCATGAGTCAAAATTGACTTGAAGGTACCTCACAACAACAACCTGTTTGAATTAACTAAAAGAGTGCATGTGTATTATCTAAGTAACTTTGTAACCAACCCCTCTCAAATGCCCCTCCACCAAGTCGGACAGATTACCCAATAAGCAAGGTATGCATGGGTTTATTTGTGTTTACTCACTAATCTGGAGTGAACAATTTCACCAAAGCTGTGGTGAAAAACATGTGAAACTGTAAATCAGCTGGTGCTTACCTTGCTTATGGATACTCTGTCCCAGTCAGGGATTGTAAATTTGAAGAGGCTTTGATTCTGTAGGGGGGTGCTGTGAAGCTGGGAGACAGATGCCAGCCATACCTAGAAGTAGAATCTTTGATGTGGTGAAAAAACTGTTCAATCTGTAGTTCACTACAGATTGGTAAGTAAACACAAGTAAGCCTGTGCTTACCTTGCTTATGGGGTAATCTGACACTGCTACCACATCTTTCCCAATAGGGAAGTGGCAGTCTGGCAGTGAAATGTCAGAGAACTGAGCTCAAATCCAGCCTCTGTCACTTACCAGCTCAGTGACCTTGGGCAAGTTACTTAATCTTTCCTGTAAAATAGCAGTAGTAATGCCTACTTCATAGAGTTGTTTAATTTTACTTTGAATAAGATAATGTATGTAAAGTAATTGGTCTCAGTAGATTCAGTCTCCTTCCTCTGACCAATGGGGTTTTAGCTGTTTCACCCAAGAAGACACACTATCTGCTGCCTCGTATTTTGTTTCAATGCCACAAGCATTTTTTGATCACGTATCGCTTGTGCAGGTTCTGGGGATATTGTAGGCTCAGTGCCTGCCTGTGGGAAGGTCCCAGCCCAGCTGCAGAAGCCCACAAGCAGGTGACTTCCATGTAGAAAGCATCAACGAAGCCATGAAGTACATACACATGTGCTTATGTGTATTCTTGTCTTTTTTCCCCTGGTCAACTACTTGCTCTGTGAGGGGAGGAGAGGTTCCATCTTTTGGACTCCTTCAGCTGTGGTTACTATATTTCCTGAATTAACATAAGGCAAGTGGGTTGACATATAGGAATATACTTATGGGGACAATGGAAGGAGACTTGGTGGTACAGGGGTTACGCATTTGGCTGCTAACTGAAAAGTCAGGCCCACAGTTGGAACTCATCCATCAGTTCTGCCTCCACTCAAGAAAAGACCACGAGAAAAGACATAGTGCTCTGCTCCCATAAAGACAGAAGCTATATAGGGTCACTAGGAGTCAGAATTGACTTGATGATACACAAAACGACAAGATGGGGAATATGGAACAAAATGTTTGAAGGCTGTGCTGACTTGGAAATTTCAAGAATAGGTTTGCTATTTCCACACTGTATAGAAAATTCCTTGGATACAATGGTCACAAAAAGGTTTGTGGTGTGAGTATATAAATAAATGAATGCATAAGCGGTGACTTCCAAAAGGCTCCCAAATTTCCTAAAATCAAGCATTGGAAATCCCTAGCATTAAGTGACAGGGTTAAGGGTTAAGACAGGGTAAAAGCTGGCCCAGGTTTAAACAAACAAACAAACATGTTTACCTAGTAAGAGGCCCAAATTTAATCACTTGATCAGGTTGAAAAGATCAGCAGGTATCTCTTTAAATGGAGAAAGACCCTCCCCCACCCCAAGAACAATTGTTTCACAGGAGAGGGGATTACCAAAAAACAAACAAACAAACAAACAAAACTCCAGGCATTATCTCTATGGAAGTAGATTGCCCAATCTTCCTTCTGAGTGGCTGGCTGGTGGGTTTGAACAGCCAGTCTTATGGTTAGCAGTCAAATGCCTGAGGCACTACCCCACCAGAGCTCCTGGAGAGGGGATTGTTGTTGTTGTTGTGTGCCATCCAGTCGGCCCGGACTCATAGTGACCCCTCTTTGGGTTTCCGAGGCAGTATCACTACGGATAGTAGGATTGCCCAACCTTCCTACCCTTCCTTCCGAGGAGTGACTGGTGGGTTTGAACCGCCAGCCTTCTGGTTAGCAGTCAAGTGCTTTAGCCACTATGCTACCAGAGCTCCTAATCTACCAGAGGGGATTAAGGAGGGCAAACTCACCAGCCACTCAAGGGAAGAAAGATGAGGCAGTCTGCTTCTGTGAAGATTTATAGCCTTGTAAACACAATGGGGGGGGGGTCACTATGAGTTGGAACTGACTCAATGGCAGTGAGTTTCGTTTGGTACTTACTAAGGAGTTCCTTGGTGGTGAAAATGGTTAAGTTCTCAAATACTGAGAGGTTGGCAGTTGTACCCTTCTAGAGGCACTTTGGAAGAAAGGTCTGGTGATCTAGTTCCAAAAGGTCAAAGCCATGAACATGCTATGGAGTACAGTTCTACTCTGGGACACATAGGGTTGCTTTGAGTTAGAAGTGACTCCATGGCAACTGGTTTTTCGGACTTGCCAGAACGGGGCAACGTGAAGGAGACCTCTGTCAGCCCATGGAAAGGAAAGTGTGGGGTAGAGGGGATCCAAAAGGTATCCACCTTTTGAGGCTTGGAAAACAGAATCTTGTAAGACTAGCCTCTGCCCAGTCTTGCCCTTGTTCTTTTGGGAGGAGTTGATAACCTGAAGGGATTCTAAGACTTCCAGAAGTTTAGAGATTGAGAAGCTCTTTGAAATTATTTTCAATTCTCTCTCTTTTTCTCTAAAATTATAACAAAAAGGAAGGGCCTTTTCCAAGCACACACAGCTGTTTAGTGGCTGCCAAGTGTCTGGCCTCTTAGCTGAATCCCCCTGTGAATGGAAGGACTCCAGATTCAGTCTGGAAGAATGGCAGCCACAAAGCAGGAGTATTGGGGCTAGGCCAACACTGCGAGTGGAGGCGTCTTGCCTGCCTATGTCCTCACAGTGTCCCAGATGGTGAGGGTGATATCTTAACCTCCCCCACCCCCAAAGTCATGCCTAGTCTGTCAGCAGTGTTGGCCCTAGAATGATGCCACACCAGGACAGGACTTTAGGAGGGCTGCGTACAAATGGAGGAACACAGAAGCAAGGGCTGGCTCTAATTCCAGCAACATCCTCTAGCAACTAACCCAGAACATCAAGAGGTACATTGTTCTTGTTCCTGACTTAACTACTTCTTTTTTCCTTGTCCTCATCCAACAATCCTCCTACTCTTGCACCTAGAAATATTCCTCTCAGATGGCTCTGTACAGCTGAGTGAACCAAGCCTTATACCTGAACCATTTAACCCCCCTCACCCCCTGCTGACCCTTCAGTGCTCCCCAGCCTCACTCTTTTAATTCCTCCCATCAAGCCCCTTGGATCCAGCTGTATGCTCTCCTAACTCCCCCTCTCCAAACTCTCAGCCTGTCCATCTTTTACCATTCAGTTTAGACTGACCAGCCCTCTGGGTGACCATCCATGCCTTGGCCTCTCTTGCCTTAGCTTGGCACCATCTCTACCCACATTACCACCTTGTTGTTGTTGTTGTTGTTGTTATGTGCCGTCGAGTCGGCCACCTTAGGTAGCAATAAATTCTTCTTCCCAGCTGGTTTGCAGGCTCTCACTACAGTACATAAAGCAAGAACTTAATGATGCTTTGTGACTCCACAGAAGAAATAAAAGAGTGTTTTTGATTCAAAATGTGAGGTAGCTATTTGAATGCTCTGACACAAGAGCATTCTTGTCCCCCAGAAGGAACAGTTCAAAGTTATGGAGTGTGAGTCTTTAGGAATGCTATCCTAGAAGGAACTTGGCAACCAAAGATTTCCTGACTGAAAGAGAAAATGTCTGGTGACGGTGTCTCTGGAAGCCATTCAAGTATCAGCACCACCAAATACCTTTATTTCCATTAAAAATTTTATTACATCAAAAGAAAAAAACAAAACAAAACCTCCACAAAACAAACAGAACCCTAAAACCCAAACCAACTCAAAGATAGAAGATCATTATCCAGGTTCTAACTAACCCTACCTCCCCAAAACAAGTTTACATTAAAAAAAATCCAAAGGAAATAGAAATACTAGCTTCAAAAATATTTATCCAAAAAGTAAGGCATCCACTTTTTAAAAACAAACAATAATTGAGGGAGGGGAGGAGGTTGGAGGAATGAGAAGAGAGGGAATAAGGGTATGGTCTCCTGACCCTCCAGGGCCAACTCCAGCCTGCCTGCTGTCTACTCAGAAGGGGCCATAACTCAGACCAAACTTGGCACTTCATCAATAATTAAGCAGGCAAGCTGAAGGGAAGCTGGGAGATCTGACACAGGCCAAAAGGGCTTGTTGGGTATTCCAGTTTAAGCAGATGGAATGGGGAGTCAATGGGAACCCTGCTTTGGGATAAAAGAATCCTGTATCCTTAGCATAAGAGGAGTGAGTGGGGAGGTTAACCGGTCCCAGGAGCACAGGAAAAGGCAGTGTCTGCCTGCAGGACCACCAGAAGCCCAAGTACCGGATCTGCCTAGGAACAGTGATGGGGGGCTTTCTGAAGAGGAGTCTTCTCAGGGTCTCCAAAGTCCTATCTGCCACTGTCTTATCATCTTGCCCTGGAGGCTGTCCAAAGATAGGACAGGGAGGCTGTCCAAAGATAGGAGGGTGAGACTGGAAAGGAAAAAGGGATTATCTGAACTGGAGGAGGGGAGAGGAAATGGACTTCAGAAAACTCTCTCCCCAAACAGGCTCTATGGTTATGGAATGGCAAGCCCCCACCCCCACCCCCACCCAAAGGCATTTAATATCAGATCTGTCCTGAGGGTTAGAAATAAGGGAGTATTTTTAGGCTCAGTTCTTGGATGGGAGGTGACTTAAGGCTGATTTGGCTCCAAGTTCAGGCATGAAGGTCTTGGGGATGATTGGGGTGGCTGGCAGCACTGGGTCTGTGGGTCTGTTGGGGGCATAGCTGCAAAGATAATAGGGTAACATCTCCTTCCCCTGGAGTGGGGTGGGAGGAAGAGCTGAACTATTTTGTCATTAGGGGATAAATGGCCACTACATGGAAAAGAAGAAGCTTTCTGGCTTCAGGAAGCTTTGGCACCAAGTTGGAGGCAGGATGCAGGAGGCAGGGGCAGGGCTGGGTTTCTACAAGCTGAGCCTTTCCCTAAATGTTCCATAAGCCTGGCGAACAGTTAGGGCAGGGGGAAGTTCTACTTTTCCTTGGTCCTTAGCTCAGTAGAAAGGTGGTGTCTTGAAAGTAACTGTAGTCTGGACAGATCCCAGGCTGGGGTGGGTGGGTAGAAGAAGCGGGGGGAACGGGGTTGGGAAGTGGGCAGAGGGAAGCATCCCCTCTGATTTCTTGGGCCCCAGGTCTCTCCAGCTGACCTTTAATGGTGACATATTTGCTTGAGTCTGCCCCTCCCCAACCAGCTCACTATTGCTGTCACTCCTCTCTGAGCTGAGGCCTTCCCTTGGGCTCAGGAATGGGGAGGGAAGGCACTACTGAACTCAGGTTCCTGAGGAGGCCACTGAGGGCATGTGCCCGGAAGGGAGGGCTCTCTAGGACGCTTTTGGCAACTCTACTCCCCTCTAACAGCTCATAGTATGGGCAGCCCTGGTGTGGGGACCCGGGAGTGAGAGGCTGCTTCTTTGGGTATAAATGCCAGTGTCTTTGTTTACAATTTCTCACCACCCATATCCAGGACCTGGCCCTGTCTGACAGAAGAGTATATGTGTATGTGTGTTGGGGGGGGGGGACGGACCCCAGACAGGGAAGTAGGGCAGAAAGTGGGATAAAGGAGGGAGGAGCATCTGGAGACATGTGGTGGTCCTCAGGCCTGGGGCTGCTCCTCTAAGTCCTTCTCCTTGGAGGGAGTGGGATAATACATGGGCTGCTGCTGCTCTTCCATCTCACTCATCTCCTCTGCTTGCGAGCCCTCCTCCCCCATGGGGTATACGACCACACACATCTTTTGGCTCACCAGAGTTAGCAACTCTGCAAGAGGAGAACAGACAGGAACCGGGTCAATGCTGAGTGTCCCTCCAACCCCACCAGCTAGGCTGTGGCCTTTCCCATCTCTCTTGCCCCAGCTTTTGCCTCAGCACATAGCCAGTGTCTTTAGAAGACTCTCTTTAAGGGATGGCCACCTTACCTGCCCTCTGAGTCTTTTGGGTAGCCTGTTTCTATGGACACCCCTTTACTTATGAAGGCCCTAGTCTTTTACCTTCCCTACACCCATTAAGCACTGATTCCAGAGTCTACATTGGCCTCCATCTAGCCCAGGACTGCTACTGCAGGATGGCTAACTGGTTGCCTCTTCTTACAGATCTAAGGCTGGCATAGAAATGTCAACTCTTCTCTTCTCAGAGGGCTTTGGGAAGGCACCTGCCTTTTCCTGCTACTGGCTCCTTCTCCAGAGCTCTTTAGACTCAAATTAAGATGAACCTAGACCTCCTAATCCTGGTGGGCCTCTCCTGAAGACCATTGATCACTCTATTCCAGAGCAGGAGCCCCTCTAGCCACCCAGAACCTTCAACAACTCACCAATGAAGTCATTGAAACACTTGGGCTTGTGTTGCCAGTAAACACCGAGGAAATAGACGGGTACACCTGTCAGCATGATGGCCAAGCCGATGCCACACACCACTGGCTCTGACCATAGGCTGAAGACCAGCAGGAAGGCCCAGAACAGCAAGTAGATGATGGGGAAGAACAGGTTGATCTAGAGTTGGAGCAGAGGCACTGTTAGCTGGGTGGACCCTGTGGCTCAGGATCAGGGCATCTTCCCTCCTCTTTACCCACAGTGAAGCATCCTTGAAGGCAAGTTTCAGTCAGTTCTGTGGCTCCTTCACACCCCAAGCCTGATAGGAAGGTACTATGCCAGCAAATGTTCAACTTGGGCAGTGGGACAGAAAGAGGATGGGAGAACTAGAGAGGGAATGATCCTCACTGTCCATTTCCTCCCTTCTGGATGTGATCATACAAGACTTTATTATCCATGTCACGTGCCTATGGCAGCCACAGGAGCCCATGGAGACTAAGAAACTTGAGTGTATTCTTGCCGAGGTCCTCGGGTGGAGAAGCAGAAGCATGTAGAAAGGGCAGGAAGAAAATGACAGATTCTCTGCTTCTCCTCAATTTCTAGGCACCATGTGGCGAATGTCCATGCCCTTCCCTATGATCAGCCCCAATATGTTTCTCTCAAGCAATTTAAGAAAACAAACCTGCCAAGACCCAAGAAATCAGGAAACCCAGCATAGCATAAGGCAGCTAGGGCCTTGACTTTACTTCAAAAAGAAACATCAACTCCACGAGTTTACCCCTTTTTGTCAACCCTATGTAGAGAGTTCCCAAGGTCCCAGTGCATGTGGTGAGGAGTGAAGTTAGTTTATGCCTCTTCCATCTGGCAATTTTTCTCAGGAGTGGAAGAGCCAGCAGAGAACTGAGAGATCTGGAGAGTCCTTCATTCTCCAGGTGGAAGAATCTTCTAGAGGCATCTAGTCTCCTGCCGTTTCCAGAGTAGGATTGTTCAAATTGGCTCAGGATTACTCTCTATTCTTTTAACTTGCAGGACAACCCATAGCACTCTAGCATGTTTTGTTCTAAACTCTCCCACCCATTCCTATCCCAAAGTTACTAATTTTAGCAATCAATAAGTTCGCCGAGCACCCTACTCTGTGTAAGGCCACAGTAGTTTATTAAAGGGGATTATGCAGCACGGAAATGTAGTGGCAAGCAACAAGGAGGAGGAGCTACTTGAGGCCCATTTGGAAAATGGCTAGAATTTGGATAGGAAGATGAGAGGATGAAATTCATTCTGGGAGAGAGACATAGCATAATTGCACTCAGCTATCTGGTAGGACAGAGAGGACACTGACCAGACTAAAGAGGCCAGGAGAAATGTTGGAGAGATCAGAGAGCCTTGGAAAATCAGTTGGATTTTAAGACTCAGAATGGCGGGGAAAAAAGGAATGACATAATGAAAGTAAAATTTAAGTTATTCACCCAGTGGGTTTTTCTCATCCTGCCCTCACTGGAGAATAGAAATGGCTGCCCAATTTACACATGTCTTGCTTCCCAAAGAGTCTGCTACCATCAGAGAGCTGATGATCTGAGGTTCAGCAGTCAGAAACAGAAGTGACTTAAAAATCTGAGCCAGTAGAGAAGGAGGGGACCTCAAAGGGAGGTTCTCACCTTGATGGGGCGGGGGATGTCAGGCTTCTTCCAGCGAAGGACTATCTGTCCAGCAATTGTGACCCCATAGAAGAGGTAGTTGATGAAGCCCACATAGTTAATGAGTGTGTACATGTCGCTGGTGACCAGCATCAGCAGGGTGGACAGGCACTGGAGGAGTGGAAGAAGCTCATCAGTGATTGGAAAGGTATTCAGAGATGGAAGGAGGTATTTACACATCAGGTAGCCATTCTCCTGCCTCCAGCCAGATGAGGCCATTTTATTATAGATGACTCAAAACGGAGACTTTACCACCTTCCCTAGTAACAACCCAGGCCATCACTAACACTCTCATTGTTAGCAAGTGTTTTCTTATTCCAGGGGTGATAAAATATTTAACCACTAGTATGGCATTGGCACCAGCCAATCAGAATGGAAACTGGTCACAAACAATTGGATTGATCACAGGGCAGTATATCAGCCCTGGTCTCTACATTTCTCTTTTGGGTGTAGCTCAAGTTAATTTCTTTTTTTCTTATCCCTTAAGGAAGATCGTTAACTGTAGATTTAGGCTTTAATCTTGCTCTCATCTCTTTCCTGGAGGAGTCATCTAATTTATTTTCCTTTTCTTTTTTAAATTGAACAGTTATACAGTACTTAGTATGTACCAGTTCTATTCTGAGCATTCTACAAATATTAACTCATTTAAACCTCATGACATCCCTGAAGTTTTCTTAATAGAGTCCATGTTCCAAGTTCAAAATTATCTCAGTGACTCTCTTGGAATCATGTTCTGTCCCTCTGCTAATTTGTGAGGCCAATAAAAGGTTCCATTCCCCTGTGAGATCTGATGATGAGAAGAACTGAGAAGATTTTAATCCTGAATAGGCCAGATTCTTGCTGTACCAGCCTTGCAATTCTAGTACTGCACTGATGGCTCAAACTCTGTTTATAGCCCTCTGGCCTTCTCCAACCACCTTCTACAACTAACCAATCAAGATGACCTTCATCCCATATTTGAACATTCTGAAATTTTTCCAAATGTTGTACAATGCCCTTCAGTCTCAAGAGCTCCTATGATCTTGGTTTCTAACTTCTTCACCAGTGAACTAATATAAGTTTCAATGTTTATGCAGGGTCCAGAAACAAACAAACTTAAAAGCCCCAATGGGGACATGTCTTTGATCCTTCCTTTAGTTTCCTCTGAATGATTCTACTCTGGGGTCATTTTCACTCCATTCTTTCTCTATCTCATGTTTTCTTTTCTCCATTTTCACTTTACCAACCTTCCTTTTTAATAAGATTTTTCTATTGGTGTACCCTTAACACACTGAATTTGTTTCAATGAGATGGTGTCCTTGAGACTGGCAGGACCTCCCTGGGCAAGATTGACAGGGAAGGGGAAGGGGTGCTCAGTGATCAACCAGGTGTACAGGAGAGCAAGGGGGAAGAGACATTTCTTTGTGAGGTTGTAGAATCTTGAGGCAGTCATTTCATTTTGCCTCAGCAGGATGGAGGAATGGAAACGAGCTGGGCCGAGAGCCTTGAGGTATTTCAGGACTCAGGATCTTTTTTTGGATAACAAACCCAGTTGCCAATTCCGACTCATGGTGACCCTAGGTGTGGCACAGTAGAACTGTGCTCTACAGGGTTTTCAGTGACTGAGTTTTCAGAAGTAGATTGCCAGGTCTGTCTTCTGAGGTGCCTCTGGGTGGACCTCCAGCCTTTCAATTAACAGCCAAGCATGTTAACCACGTTCATTAGCCATGGACTCCTGACATTAGTAAAGCGCATGCATATCATTTGCCAGATTATCTAAGACCCAGTGAAACCTAGTAGCAGATCAGGAGGGTGGGAAGGGCATGTGTGGAAAGTTTGAGCTCCCAGTTCAGAGCAGGTACAAAGAGTGGGAGGGAGGGTGTGGGTAGGGCTGGCAGTTGGAGGGGCCCTTACTGTGAAGAGCAGGGCTGGGATTGGAGTGCAGCGCTTCACGTGGATCATGGCCAGCACGATGGGAAGGTGGCCTTCCCTGGCTCCAGCAAAGAACAGCCTGGCAGAGAGAAAGGCAGGTCAGCCTGGGAGAGCCCATGGACCACTCATGAGGACTCCCTCCCATGCCTGGGCTCCTTCATTTATGCCCGCCTCCTGCTCCACATTGGAGCCATCTCCCACCCCAACCAGGTATCCATGTTCACGTGCACATTTTCCAGCCCACTAGTCACAGGACCCATGCTCACAAATGCAGGTGCAGGCAAACCCAAGGTAGCCACAGGGTTAGTGGATGGATCCCAGGTACATGGAGATGCTGAACATGGTCTCAGTGGATCTGGCTTGCACACTATTCTATTGTTGCTCGTAAGTGGCTCACAAAGCCTAGAAGGCACAGCTAGGGCAGCTCCTCTCCTTTACACAAGGTCTTAATCCCTTTAAAAATGCGCTCAGTCTCAAGGGAGCCAAGTTCTCTCATATACTGGGATTGTATGCACTGTATATTGAAAGACTTAAAACACATATCCTAACCAGAAGTGGTTGCCTCCATGGGGGTGTGAGGTTGAATGGAAAGGGGCATGAGAGGACTTGGGGATAGGTGGAAATGTTCTATATCTTGTTTTGGGTGATGGTTATGTGGATGTACAGAGTGTCAAAACTCATCAAGCTAAACATTCAAGATCTGTATATTTTCTTGTATATAAAGTATACCCAAACATGATATCCTTCAAGCTATTTATTCTACTCTCAAGAACCATCCTCAAGAAATAAATAGACTTGGTCAAAGAGGTACATAGAAAGATACTCTGATGATGATGATAATAATAATAATAATAATAATAATAATAATAATAATAATAATAATAAAAAATGAAAATAATCAATGTGGAACAAAAACTCAAAATCATAAAAAAAATGACCTGGTTTACTGGTCTGATAGAGCCTGGTGAGACCCCTGAGACTATGGCCCCTAGTTACCCTGCAGGTCTGGAATTGAACTCCCTCCCATGGGTTCCAGCTAAACAATAGACAGGCATACAGGGTGAACATTTATGTCAGGTAGATACACTCCTTAGAATGATCAATCATGGGACAACAGAAGGGCAGTATCTGCACAGGGAGATAGATAGCTCAGGGGGCAGGAATGCATAGGAAAGGACACAGGAAGAGGTAACTACAGGGAAGAAGTGGGAAGAGAGCTGTGACATTGTGGGGATTGCAGTCAATGTCATGAAACAAAAGGTGTATGAACTGCTGTATGGAAAATTAGTTTGCTTTATAAACTTTCATCCAACCTACAATATAAATAAATAAATAGAAAAGAACCTAACTGCCTAAAAGTGGGGCTTGATTAAATACATTATGATATGTCAGCATTTTAAACAAACAAACTCACTGCTGAGGAGTTGGATCAGACTCACTGTGACCCATCCTTGGGTTTCCGAGGCGGTGTCTCTATGGAAGTAGATTGCCTAATCTTCCTTCCGAGGAGTGGCTGGTGGGTTTGAAACACCAGCCCTCTGGTTAGCAGTCAAATGCCTTAGGCACTATGCCACCAGAGTCTATATTTTACAGACTGATGTTTTTGAAAAAAATCTGATACCTGAGAACATGCCCACAATATAGCATCAGATTAAAAAAGCAAGATAGAAAAGGGTATGATTCCATACAATATGTTTCCAATTACTTTTTAAATTATTTATAGGCATATAGAACAATACATGAAAGCACCAACTGGTCATCTCTGGATGGTGAGATTATCAACAATCTTAATTTTCTTCCTTATATTTCATAGTAAAAATTTAAGATTCTAAAATAGACAGGAAACATAATTAAAATAAAAATTGTTTTCAAATTTACATTTTTTAAAAATTTTGAGATAATTATAGACTGACATGCAGCTGTAAGAAATAACACAGAGAGATTATATGTACCCTTTATGGATTTTCCTCAACAATAACATCTTGTAAAAACTATATCACAACCAAGATGTTGCTGCCTACAAGTTACTTCTAAAAAGAGGAATTTTAACATAAAAAGCAGTCTTTCTTCCCCTTGCCTCTCCCAAGAGACAAGAAGAGACTATAAACTGTCATAGTCATTTACATATTAGTACAAATTAGACCACTTTTTATTTTTCCTAGGGTTTTGTAGGAGAAGAAGCACCTAAGGAATGAGAGGCAGGGGATGGTGTGATGCTGACAGCAAGGCACAGAATCAGCACACCCACACCGGGGTTCGGAAGAGAATCAGCACTTACTTTGTAATCTGTGTATGTGGAGAGCGCGGCCAATAGCAGCAGCTAGTCAGAAGTGTAGGAGTTGATTGTAGCCCCAGGTACTCTTTTGCATTTGCCATCAACTACCTAGGCCAGTGCCACTAGCCTCATGCAGCCATGCAGCATCCCTGCCCCTGACTCATGCTGTTGGCCCTCTACCGTGCAGCCTCATGTGCCACAGTGAGCCCCAGTCTCATGCATATAGCCAGGGTCTACATTCACATTTCTCCCCCCGTGCAGCCCGGGCCAAATATAATTGTCTGGTCCAACAGCATTTGCAAGTGTCAAGTTCACAAGAGATAGTTCTTGCCCTGCTGGCAGACAACAGAGGAGACAATGACATTAAGCATAACACACACCCATACACACTTCTACTTCTGAGGAAGGGTCATCCTCTCCATACTCTTCTCCAAACACAAAAAAGAGTGAGAGTGAAAAAAAGAGAAGGAGGAAGAAGGGAAGGAAAAGAAGAAGGAACTGAGAATATGATCAGAGGAGGCCTGGGTGGGGGAGGTGGTGCCTCTGAACCAGAGGTGGGGCACACCATGCACCTCTATTTCCTGCATGCACACATGACTACACCCATGCACACAGACCGCTGTTTGGTCTGCCTGAGGGACAAACCCCACTCTAAAGCGACTGGAGCCAGTCACTCTCCTCCACCATCCCAGAGCCTCATGGGTCACTGTCTTCCACTGCTCGCCCTTGGCTGGGGCCTCCTGGTGGCACTGCTCCTGTGTAACATGCACATGAGGTTGCTATGGGTGAGCAACATAGGGTCCTGGGGTGCAGGTGACACCTGCTTTGCCTCTATCCTGTCCTGAGCCCTGAAAATATGGCACTTCCCTGTCATTTCACTGGAACTCAGGGAAGACTCCTTGGATCACAACAATGGAAATCATCTGGCATCTGCTGGCCTTCAGAGCTCATTCTGACCTTTTCTTAAATTCATTCAGCCCAAGACACAAGAGACAGCAAGGGGGGACAGCAAGAAGAGCCCAGATTTCTGGATGTGTGGAGGTGGGAACTAGGGATTCTTCTGGCTTCCCAGAGAGTTTTGAGAGCAGTTGTGCCAGAAAGACAGGCTATTTCTTTGGACAAATGCTCTCTTTTGGCTCTTCCTCAACCCCCTTGCTTCACATGCTCCACCTGAGTCTCATAGAGGCCATGCAAAGGCCACCCACAGCTGCCTGTCTGGTGAGCAGGGAGGAGTCCTGTATCCTCAAGGGCAAGCAGAGATATTCTAATGAACCTGCAATCTAGTCTCCTAACTTTCCCACCCATGAGAGACCAGATCCAGAGGCCCCAGACACAGGTCTCCCTTCTGGTTCCTCTCAGAGTAGGGTTCCTTTCTAGCCAGCAGCAGCCTGCTTCCAGGAGAGTGTAAAGGGAGGCTCTAGGACTGCAGCCAAGGCACTGTCCTGTTCCCAGCCACAGCTCCCTGACCTGGGATTGTACCAGGCTAGGGGCTTCCTCAGTCCTCTGCTCCATTTGCAATGTGAAGCACCTAGGGCCTGCATGTCACACACATCATAAGTAACCACATGCGCAGTACATAGCCTTCTGCATCCATAGTGACATCACAGACTTTCACATGAGCACACACCCTTCTGCAAGGTCACCACTCAAGTGCCTACATAGGTCCCTGCTGACGGAGACAACCCCCCACATATAGACAGAACAATGTGCACAGCAGAGTGGCCCCTGGTGGGGGAGGGACCCAGGCAGTACTCACCGGGAGGAGGTAAAGAGAGATCCATTGACACCTCCAAATGTGGACAGGGCAACAGAAATGGGCATGATCCAGGCCATGACGCCCAGAAGCTTCTCTCCAAAAGTCTGGGAGAGAAAACAAGCATAGAAGGAGAGGTTACAACTCAGGCAGAGCTCTCCCCTCCCCAAAGCAATGGCTGGCATACTAGCTGTTTTCTCCTCAACCAGCCATTGGGCTCCCCACTCCTCAGTGTGGACTTGACTGTTGGGAATGCTTCTTTCCTGTCTCTACCCTTGCTGATTCTCTCCAGTGCCCTGGCCCCTCATACTCCACCTCTTTCCACCGTGATAACTGCACAATGGGGATTAAAAAATATTTTGGGTTAGTTAAGTGTAAGAGACAGTGTACAGTGGTAATAATAATAATAAACTTATATTATCTCTGTTTTAGGGATGAGGAAACTGAGGCACAAAGTGATTAAGTAGCATGCCTCAGACTACATACACATCCAGAAAGTGGAGGGGCCAGGCCTGAAACTCAGGTGGTGTGTGTCCAGGCCTCACATACATTACACTATTTCTCCAGCACCCTATTTCTGCAGGGTTTTGAGGAAGGCAGATCTGGATTCAATTCCTAGTACTTCCTGTAGGAATGTGAGACTTTGAGCAAGTGTCATGCTTTTGAATTGCAGTTTTCCCATTCATCGAACAGCAATGAATCCTAATTCATAGGGTGGTTGTGAGGGTTTGAAGAGATGACTTTTGGGAAAAATGGTAAGATCAAGCCACTATTTAAGCTAGAAAGAAAAGGCTGTATAGTCTAGTGTTCATATATTGGAGGGACATAAAATGTCAGGTGACCAGCCTTTTCTATATATTCAGAGCCAGGAATACACTTGATTTACAGCACATCGTGGGGACAGGAAACAGTAATGGTGGGGGGAGAAGTTGTGTTTAGAATAGCTGTCCTACTGGGGAAGGCTATTGGTCATGGGATCAGGCTGCATGGGAAACTGGAGAGCCTGTTGCTTTAGAGTTTTCAGAAATAAGATGAATGATGACACTGTTTGGCAGGTGAAGTCAAGCTCAGCCTAAAGCCAAGTGAGGTTACAATACAGTTCCCAGGTTTTCACAGATATCAAGGATCCCAACCCATGGGACCTGCATGATCTCTTTGCCCAAAAAAACACAAAACACATAATTTTTAAATGTTTCCCCACACATACTTTTCCACGATGAGGGAAGGAGTCAAACTGCACATTTTCCAGAGGAAGAGAAAAAAGAGAGAGAAATGGCATGTCTTGTGAAAGATTATGTCTTTCTGAGGAGAAGCCTATCTCCTTTATACAAAAGCATTAGATTTTAAGGGACTGGCAAACTTTTTCTGGAATCCCTGGGTGGTGTGAACAGTTAATGTGCTTGGCTACTAACCGAAAGGCTGGAGGTTTGAGTGCACTCAAAAGCACCTCAGAAGAAAGGCCTGATGATCTGTTTCTGAAAAACCAGCCGTTGAAAACCCCATGGATCATAGTTCTACTGGGACACACATGGGGTTGCCATCAGTCAAAATCAACCTGATGGCAACTGGTTCAAAGTTTTTCTGTGAAGAGTCAAATAGTAAATATTTTCAGCTCTGTGGGTCATATAGTCTCTGTCACAACTACTCAATTCTGCTGTTGTAGCTGTTCGAGGTACAACCCAGGCATCAGTTTGCTCCTGGGCACTAGATGATGCCCCAGTGAGGACAGTATGTGATTTCTGCCCTGGAAATTAGAACAACTTATACTGTCACAAGGCCATGTAGCAAAGAAAGTGAGTGAGGCTAAGCAAGCAGGTCTGCGATAACATTCATGGTTTGAGAGTCTGGGAGTTTGATTTCTTACCACAGCGACTGCGTTTGATGCCAGCAGCTCCTGAGGGGACATTGCAGTGACATAAGCAATATTAGCAAAGACATACACAAATGTGACCAGTGGGATGGAGATGTAGATGGCTCTGGGAAGGTTCCTGTAGAAGAAGAGGAGATGAGAAGGGGAATGCTTGATACCCAGGGACCACTTGCTTCTCCGTGGGCTCCTGGAAATGCCTTCTGTCTTTCTTGTAGTCTTCAGTGATACTTTCTCTCCCTGGGAATTGTATTTTGTCTCAGTAGGAGCTCTGGTAGCGTAGTGCCTAAGGCACTTGACTGCTAACCAGAAGATTGGTGGTTCAAACCCACCAGCCACTCCTTGGAAGGAAGATGGGGCAATCTACTGTGATACTGCCTCAGAAACCCAAGGTGGGGTTGCTATGAGTCGGGTCTGACTCGACGGCATGTAATAACAACAACACGGGCAGGATAATTTGAAGGAAACGAAACCATTTTGGATTGGGGATATATATATATATATATTATATATATATATACACCTGCTGATTTCTTCCTGACCTGAATCTCCACAATGCACCTCTTCCCCTTGTCTTAGGGCACAAAGATTGGCCTATCTTGAGACAGGTGAGTAAGATGCCCAAAGCCTCTTGGGCACATTTCATTCTCTAAGGCAGTGGGATTATCCCAGCACAGTTTTCAGCTTTTAACTTGCTCTGGGACAGACACTGGATCAATTTTCTCCTCATGTCTGAGTATATGGCAAATGGCTTTAAGTCCCTTGGAAAGGATCTGTTTTCTTCAGGACAGACCAGATCATGGTCAGAACAGAGGAGGGAGGTGTGGGGGGTGGGGTGGGGAGAACTGGGCAGTGGGCATCTATTTGCTCCCTCTTTCCAGTAGCAGGTGCTGTGTCCTTCAAGGAAAAGGGGAAGAGCTGGGCTATTTTAACTCACTTGTAGGGATCAACAAGTTCCTCAGTCACGTAATTAAGAAAATTCCAGCCTCCGTAAGCAAAGGAGCCCTGAAGGAAAGCCAGTGCAACGAGGCCAATGTCGGGCTCTTGGAAATTCTCAAACGCGTTCTTTGGCTCCAGCCAGAAGTATTTTCCTGTGGACACAATGGGCAGGAGGCTGTTCAGAGAGACAAGCCAGAGGCTCTGGGAGCCCCTGGCCTGTCTAGTCCTGTCTCTCTCTCCTCCCTGTGGTGATGAACACCAGCTCCTTGTCTTGCCTCCAATGAACCCAGGATATTGGAGAAGTAGGGCTAAACAGAGCAGGGAACTACAGATCCAGAACCTACCAGAACATGCTAACCATGAGTTCAAATGGGGATTCAGGGTCAAAGCATAATTTTGAATGTTCTTTTTTTAAAGGCAAAGTTACTTGGAAGGAAAGGCCAGGGGAGGTCATCAAGGAGGGTAAGGTACATTGGGAGGCCAACTGGTCGAAGGAGCTTGCTTGGCTTTGGAGACACAGGATTGAAGTCACTGGCAGTCTCTTGATCACTGTCCCTGACATCAAAGTTTACACATTTTTGTGAACAAAGCATCAAAAACAGCAAACACTCAAACATAAGCTTCTGTAATGCTGTATTAGTTAAAGCTTGCATTTCTTTCTTTGAAGGTATCCTCCCATCTCTTTCTAAGGTATGTATGTGTTTTGTTTCCCTTATCAGGATATAGATTCTCTGAGGATAGAGGTTCTTTGGCAAAGAACTCTTTTTCTTTTTTCATTAATAAATTTATTTAAAGTTATTGTTGTCAATTCTATTGCCCTTCTACCTTTTAGCACAGTGCCCTGCACATAGTAAGCCCTCAAGAAAGGTTGTTGACAGACTGAGGTTGTAATGAGACACAGAATGACTGACCATAAATTATTTATTTGTCTAAGTCAGCATCTGGACAAGGAAATAATGGCATTAGATTGGCCAGGACAAAGAACTGAGACCAGATTAAGAGGGACTCACTGTCTTTGATTTTCTTAGATCTAAATTCCTGAAAAAATTATAACCTAATAAAAAAACTTAATCCACCTGATTTATAATCATCATGTACATTATAGAGCAGAAACTTAATTAGGCTTCCTAGAGTAAAAATCCTGGCACCTGCACTGCCTTCAGGGTATGTGGGTGGGTAGGAGGTCTCCTCTTTTGTCATCTGACTTTCTCCATGAGGCAGTGACACTGGGAAGAGCCTAGTGGTGCCATGGCTCCCATGGAAACCAAATACAGAGTCAGGCTTGGAAAGGACCAAATCCAGCAGGGAATGTTGGCAGGGGCCCAGAGAATGTAGAGCTCTCTCTTGTAGAGATCATGAGTAATTTTGAAACATATAAAAATCTGCTCTTCTGTCCCCCATTTCAAGATATGGACAAGATACAATATAAAATGCAAGGATCTTCCTGGGGTTGGGGCAAGTGGGCAACAGGAGTCCAGATTCCTATCTGTGCTGGAGTTATAAGGTGAGAAGGGGAGGACTGACCTCTGCAAACTAGTCAGTCATTCCCTACTTCCAACCACTCTAGGGAAAATTATTTCTTTCTCCTTTGTCAAGCAGGCAAAGAAAAGAAGTCATTCAAGGCCAGAGTTAGGAAATTTAAGGTGTGCACACATCCACAGACAGTGTGAGGGGTTGTGTATATGCAAGAGGTAGAAAGTGGGGCAGGGCCTTATTCTGATGACACTCACCTTTGCATATCTGCACCACCCCCATGACAATAATCAGGGCCAGGGCCAGGAGTTTCCCAGCTGTGAAGATGTCTTGAACCCGGGTGGCCCATCGTACACTGGAACAGTTGACCCATGTGAGGAGCACTGAAATGATAAGATTCCCCAAGATCCCCTTCAGTGGCCATAATGAGGCTGCTTGACACCACTGCCCAGAAGCAGAAATGCTCCCTGCTCCTGATGATGGGATTATAAGAGGTGAGCCAAACAACTCACAAGCTCAGCCCCAGTGACCAGAAACTTTGGCTAGGTTAATGGGTTACAAATAGGGATTACGTGCCCCAAATTAGAGCTTGGTTAGAGCATGCCCTGCCCAGGGCCGGAAGCCAGAAGTAGGCACAGAAATGTGGGCACTGGCTCCGGTGAAAAAAATCAGCGTCTGATCAGGGTAGGAGTGCACTCTTTGTCTTCAAGCCATTACATGTTCAAGGGAGCCCTGAAAAGCTGGTGGGATTCTGGGTGTCACTTTCCTGAGCCTGATTTTGGGATGCAGAGGTCTGGGTGAATTTTTTTTTCTTTTTCAAAGTTAGATTTATAAAAGTATAATTTATGCACAGAAAAATTCTTTTTAAGTGTAGTTTGATGAGATTTGACAAACGTATCTAATCTTTTAATTAATCACTACCACGTTCAATATATAGAACATTTCTGACACTCCAAAAAGTTCTCTTGTGCTTCTTGGGCTCCCTCATGCCTTTGTGTCTGGCTTCCTTCACCAAACATAATTCTTTTGTGATTTACCCATGTTTTTGCATAATTGGTAGTTTGGTCTTTTTTTATTGTTAAGTAGCATTCCATTATATGAATGCATCCATTTGTTGTTTCATTCATCAGTTGGTAGGCATTTGGGTTTGCTTCCAATTTTTGGCTATCATGAATAACACTGCTATGAACACTTATATTGGCTATCCTAATAGATGTGTAGTGGTATTTCACTGTCATTTTTATTTGTATTTCCCTAACTTTTCAGGTGCTTATTGGCCATCCATCCATAAATCTTCTTTGATAGTACAAAAATAAAAAAAAAAAAACTTATTGCTATTGAGTCGATAACTTTACCTCCTTACTTAACAGTCACAGGATTCCCACAGAGATCCCAATAAAATGAGACCTCAAATGACTGGATGACAGCTCAGAGGCTGAGTGCCAGGAGGAGGGGATCTCTCTGTTGTACTGCCACATTTCCTAAGCAGCCCACGGGAGCCCTGTACTGCAGAAATGGGACTCTCAATTTCCTGACATTATGAAGGACTTGAGAATAGAAGGGAAAAATAAAAATCTTCCTATTTCTTCTTTTCCTAAAACAGTAACCAGCAAGCCCACTAAGGTATAAGTCATACATGTAAAGATATGACACTACTTCTGTCTCCTCAAGCCAAACCTGGGCTCTGACTTCACTTGAAGGGGAGATAAAGTTATATCAATTCCTTATCCTTAAACTGTGCTTTTACTTTCCAAGTATTTTTCCAACCTTCCTTGATTCTGAGAACATTTCAGTAGGGTAGGAAGGTCCTAACATTATTATCCATCTATATAACCTTCCTCCCTGCACCATTTCCACCAGGCAAACTCCTTCTCATCTTTCAAGATCCAGCTCAAATGTCTGCTGTTCTGAGAGTTTTGTCATCTAACTTATTCCTGACAATGTGCCTGCAAGGTAAGATATACCAGCCATGGTTTACAGACAAGGAACAAAGGGTCTCTCTCTTCTCTACTCCCCGGCCATTTTGTTTATATCTAATTTTGACACTTACATCTTTGTATTATAATAATGTTTCTCCACCCCCCCCCCCCGGTAGATTAGAAGGGCAAGGTCTGTGTCTCTTTCACGTTTTTAATTCTAGGGCATATCGTTGGTGCCTGCATATAGTAGTAGTAGTAGTAGTAGTTGTTGTTGTTTTGTGCCGTCCAGTCGGACCCAACTCATAGCGACCCCTCCTTGGGTTTCCGAGGCAGTTATCACTACGGTAGATTGCCCTATCTTCCTTCCGAGGAGTGGCTGGTGGGTTTGAACCGCCAGCCTTCTGGTTAGCAGTCAAGTGCCTTAGGCATTATGCTAGCAGAGCTCCTGCATATAGTAGGTGCTCAACAAATATTTAATAAATGAGTAAAAAAATGCCACAGTTCATTAGCCCTCATTTTTTATCTCAGTCTTCACATTCCACAAAGCACACCTATCTCCCTGGGCTTCCCAGGTATCTCAACAAAAAGAGACAAAATCCTCAGATGGCTTAACAGAGATAGAAGAACAGCATGAAGCTTGACTTCAAGATAGAAACTTCTTGTGGAGGAGCTGTTATCCAAGATGGTGTCATATAAAGAGAATCAAAACATGTTGTCAGAGGAAGGATTTAAATACCCGAACAGAGAGAACATTTTGTAAATACTAGAATGTTCCAGATGAACTGAGACATCCCAATGAACATTTGGTTTATCTTACTCAATTCAGTAAGGATTTCAGGATCATGTGCCTGGTGACAATCCAACCAAAGTCCTCTAAACAACTGCGTCCATGATCTCAACTTCTCCCCAGGGCCATGAAGCATCTGGGTTCAAGATTGGGCCCTACATACCCAGGAATTCAAGCAGACACATACAAGCAAAAAGACTGAAGGATAAAGGAGATTGATTTATGAACAGCATGATGAATAGAAAACAAAACCCATGTGGCTCAGGCATAGGTAAGGATTACAGAATAAGGAACTGGATCATGATCTCCGAGAAGAAAATTATCCTCCATCAAGAGGAGGCGAAGAGTAGGGAAGGGAAATGAAAAAAAAAAGTGACTGGATGAAAATAATGGCAGAACAGGAAACTCAAAGAAATGCCTTTTCCCCCAAGCAGACAAAGGAATGTGACCATCTCTCCATGGCCCCAAGGCAGAAAACCATCTCCTTTACACACTGACCTTGTCAAGGTCCACAGAAAGACTCCTTTAAACTGTCAGCTTCCTGGTATTCCTGGGGGTGATCACAAATATTTGCAGGACAGGGACAAATAAATTTGCAATGGGTGTCTTGTATCCTGCCTGACCTTATCTCTACAACTTCATAAGAATACAGGCCTTGACTAATATTTAACCTTCTACCTTTACAGGGATCTTTAAGATATAAGAAGAGAAATTCTGAGAATGAGGTGGGGAAGCAGGCTGATTGTGACACCTAATCCCCTTGGAACAATGGCTGCAGGCCCCAGGTCTGCCCTTTCACCCTGCAGCTGGGTGATCACAGCATGTGACGAAGGGAAAAGAGGGCACTTTCAGTCTCCTGGTATCACAGGACAGCTCCCCTCACAGCAGGCTGAAACCTGAGCCTCCATCCAGAGAGGAAAGGTCAGCAATTGAAGGCAACACTTTCATGGTACTTGCCAGGTCCCTGCCCTGTTCAGGCATTCTGCCTCTGCCCATCTGCCACCCAGTGCCCTTTTCTGTTGCTGACAACTCCGTCCCCTCTCCCTTCTCAGCTAGACTTCGAATTTTGCATGCTTGAGATACAGTGACCTCAGGGAAGCTACATGTAGATATAGGAGCCACTGCACCTTGAAATGTGAGGGTTTTCATCCATCCAACCATTCACCCATCCACGCATCCCTCCACCCATCCACCTACCCACCCACCCACCTGTCCATTCAACCATAATCTATGAAGGGCATATGGTATGCTCAGCACTCTGGTAGGTGGGGAGTGAGAAATAAGGCACAGTTTCTGTCCTCAGGAAGTTGTCAGTATAATAGGGGAGATGGGTGAGCTAAGGGATGACTACAAAACAATGTGATAATGGCAGACATAGTCATGGGAGGAATCCCACATCCATGCTGGGAGCTAACTCAGCCCAGGGGACTCAGAGATACCTCCTATACAGGAGGAAGTAACCTTAGCAACATGGAGAATTTAATAATTTTGGCCCAGTTGGACAAAAAGGAATGAAAAAGCATGTGACTCTTGTTTCATACATTGTAATCTGCCCATGGTAGGTGGCTGCTTATTCTCTAGGCCTTACAGAATCCCAGGCTTATTTGCATTTCTTAGACATTTTCTCTTTGACTGCCTTTCTCTTTCCTGGATAAAAAAGATGAAAAGACTACCTACCAAGAAGATGAGACTTTAAAAACATGCTTAAGTCATGGGTTTGTTACTTGATCCTCCAATGCTGAAAAATTTAATCAATCAAGGTAATAAGCCAAAAAAACAAACTCACTGCCATCGAGTTGATTCTGACTCACAGCGACCCCCTTTGGGTTTCCGAGGTGGTAAATTTTTACAGAAGTAGATTGTCCACTCTTCCTTCCTTGGAGTGATTGGGGGGTTTGAACCACCAAACTTCTGGTTAGCAGTCAAGTGCCTTAGGCACTGAACCAACCGAGCTCCCTAATCAAGCTAATAAAGCAAAAAACCCAAACTCATTGCTATCAAGTCGGATCTGACTCATAGTGACCCCTCCTTGGGTTTCCAAGGCAGTATCACTACGTGAGTAGATTGACCAATCTTCCTTCTGATGAGTGGCTGGTGGGTTTGAACTGTCAGCCTTCTGGTTAGCAGTCAGATGCCTTGTGCACTACACCACCAGAGCTCCTAATCAAGGTAATAGGGGAGATATAAAGTACAAAGTAGGCTGTAGGAGGGAAATTCAGAACATATCAAACTCAAGGGCCTCCCAACTGCCAAGTAATAGAGGTGGGCTCAATGTTTTCTGCCTGTGGGACAGCTGCCAGATAGGCAGAGGTTCAGAGCCTATCCCAGGGCAGACTGGAATTTGCCATTATGGAAGGGGTGGGCTAACTACTGCTCCCTGTGGAGAAGGCAGCTCCAGCCCCATTCCAGCCCCTCAGACTCTGAGCCCTGGTCACAGAAAACTCTCCTTCACTTCCTCCTCTGACGATGATATCAGGTCTCATGGGGCCTAGGTTTGGCAGAATAATAGCCCTCCAAGGATGTTAACATCTTACTTTAAGAGGCAAAGGGAATTTTGCAGATGTGATCAAATTGTTGTTGTTGTTGTTTGCCGTCGAGTCGGCCCGACTCATAGTGACCCCTCCTTGGGTTTCCGAGGCAGTATCACTACAGAAGTAGGATTGCCCAACCTTCCTTC